ACAGATTTGAACGTGATCATTTGAGGTATAATTGTCATTTACGTATGTTTTTCTTTTTAGTTCTTCGTATATATTTAATTGTTTGTTATTTGGGTTCCATCTGATATTTGTTTTGATGGTTAATATTTCGTTGTTCTAAATTTGTATGTGTGGARCAAAGACAGCACATGCAACAAACGGATGGTTTGGAGCAGCAATGCATGCTCTTGGAAAGTCGTGGATCGTTTACAAGATCAGACAACCAAGGGTTCAATAAATCCAGCATCTCTAGCAAAAACTGCAATTAAAACAGTAGCCAAGGAAAAATAAGGAGGTATGGAGGAAGCCTTTTCTCTTATGGAGTGATGATACTTTGTACCACTTTACATGCATCTCTTCGGTCCAAAATCCATTTTTTTAATTCTTCGAAAAAAAGTATACTTCTTTTTTCCGAAGTGTTTGGCTCTCCATCTACTGTTCTCTTACCGCCAAAGTGTTCTGRCATGACCAAAACAAAATAAATTTGTTCCTTTTCTACAAACTSGAGTTTCCTTTTCTTTATTTTTGATTATAACCCGMATAGCTCTGTTTTCCATTTGGTTCATATCCCATCTCTCAATACTTTGAAGATAGAAAGACTTTGTCCATCAGCAGTTACCACCCAAAGAAGTTGTCATGCTCGCAGCTCTTGSCTTCAACTGCAAGACATGTATTTTTCTAGCTGGCACATATATAAGAAGGATARAGTTTAGCCGTGTTAACCAGTTTTTACCCAAAAATGCAAAAACTATTGACCTCATGTCTGGTTTTTGAAAATATCAAGAAAATATTAGTAAGCATCATGTTTTTATGTGTTTTGATTTTTTCAGATTGTATGTTATAACGTGCATAGTAAAAGAGCCTCAACCATAGACAACAACAATTATCCAAAACTATGTTTACATTTTAGCAAGCAAATATGTGTCTAATCGGTATCACATTTAACATACGTGTAAACTTTTATGATTGGGTGTGGTTTGCAATCTCAAAGCTCTTAAATGGACATAGTGCATTCTCACTTCCACCCAGAAACCAATGCAAGTAAAATACTCGAACAATAGTTGAGCCAAAATTGAACAAGTCGAAGAGGAGGAAGAAAATAACAATCACACGAGACAACATAAATTATAGTTTTACCAAAGAAGAAGAAGAATTAAAGTGGGACATGGTTGTTTTTTTTTTCCTTATGATTTGTGTTTAGTGTGAGACCGTGGCTTATAGAAAAGTGTTTCAAAATATTTAGGATTTAAAGCAAATACCAATTTTCTATTCTTATTAGTATTATCTCATAAATCTATTTTGATAAAAGGAATGACTTAGCATTCTATACCATCTTCGTATGATTAAATGTTTTATTTGGTAGACTTAAATATTTTGTTCATTTTTTATATTTTTTCATTCATCCAATTTTTAAGAGTATAACAGAAGTTGAAACTTAATGATCAAATAATCAAATCATATCAACTGTCTTAGTTTTAACATTAATAAAAAAACTAAGACTTTTGAAATTTTCTCTTTCAGTAACCAAAAAATCAATGTTATGGTTTATACAATATACGAATATTTAAGTAAATATTTTTTTTTCAATAACGAAATGTTAATTTATTGATGAAAGGAAATAATCATTATTTGCAATCTAGAAAAAATTTTGATGAAAGAAAATAACAAATATTTTTTTTTATAAGAAAAAATGTTATATGTTTATATTCTTAAAATATTTTCTTTCTTTTTGTAGGGATTTACAAAATATGGTATTGTGGGAGATACTTCGAATGTTTTCGCTAATTATGTTGATGTGATTTAGACTTGCAACGTCTCCCTTCCTCTACGTAGTTCAAATTCAAAAGCAATGTTGCATGGTAGCTCTCTCTTCCTCGATATTTCTTTATTTGTCATGAGACATTAGAGTATTCACATTAAAAAATATTTCACAATATCTTTGCTTGAATGAGATTTTGTTGATCATTGGTACTGAGTTTTTCAGTATCGGGTATTAATTCAAAGGCAAAGTACGTGCAATTGAATTATGTGATTTTGAGTTTTATGACTGTAAAGTTGTAAAGTTTGAACATCCTTTTTAGGATCTAATTGTGGACTCTAACTTGCTTAGCAAAAACAAAATGGGGGAGATGTGTATAGATAACCAACAAACAAAATTTGTTTATATCTATAATATTGAAGAACATCGATCTATATTTTATATCTAGAATACTATTTTTTTTTGTTATTCCTGTCCCGCGCAAGGCGCGGGTATCTGCCTAGTATATATATGATTTGACAAATCGATCCCGTACAAACGGTCTCAGAGACTGATTCCATGGATGATGTACCGATACACACTTCTTAAAATGTTTTTAATTGCTAATTTGTAGAAATTGTCAATCTGTAAATAAATTAGCAGTTGATACAGTCAGTGCTTGTGTCAGTGTTAAAAGGGGTCTCAAATGTCTCCGGATCCAAAAAGTCTTCTAGTTTTCTACTCGTTTTTGAATAGAAAGTCTTCTTATCTCTAGGATCTATAAATACCAAGATGCTTGAACATGTGTATAATAACTCCTTAGTTCTTTTGTTGAACTCTAGAAGTCACAAAACAAGGTACTAACATAAAGATTTCTTTAGTTTTTTTTTTTTTGTTAAAAAGAACTCTTTCGTTTACTTCATCAGATTCGATTAAATTCGATTCTGGTGGTCCTGTACGGCCACATAAAAGGGTATATTTTGCTTTTCAAAATTTTCTTTCCATCC